CGCTTGAACCAGGGTGGCAGAGGTTGCAGTGAGCCAAGATTGAGCCACTGTACTCCAGCCTGGGCAACAGAATGAGACCGTCTCAAAAAAAAAAAAAAAAAAAGATAAAGGTACTATGGTTATGTAAGAGAAATTCCTTGTCCTTAGCAATTTTTTATTAAATGAAAGAAAAGTTACATACCTAGCTTTCTTCCGCAGTAACTTCTGAGACTCAGGATAATGCACCAAAATCTCATTCAGGTCCTTCTTATCCAGGATGAAGAGGTTGGCAAACCCATGGGCCACCACGTTGGCCGTGCGCCTGTTCCCGCCCCCAACAGCCAGCAAGCTGGGGCAGAGAAGGGAGGAAGGACACCCTTCAGAGACTGCAGCTTTGGTCACATTCAGATCTTCACTTCCCGTGTGTGGCGCACAATGGTGGCCCCACACAGATGAGAGCCTGCCCCAACCCCATCCCCACATACATTAGCAGGTGCCTGTGCTGCATCTGCCATGCCTTAGGCACTCCCACTGCCCGCTGGCCACCTCCTTTCCCAGCCCTTGCGCCAGGCCCCTCACTTTCCCCCAGCTACCTCTGACCTTATTTCTCCAAACACAGATCCAGCTTTCAGCGTCACCAGCACAGATTTCCCATCAGGGCCACCCAAGACCTGCACTTGCCCTGCCTGGATGATGTACATCTCGCGGCCGATCTCCCCCTGAAACAGAGAAGGGACAAGTCCTTCTGCCCATCCCCCAAAGTCACCAGAGAAGGGGCCAGAGCTGGGTCCGGAGGCTGGAGGTCAGGCGGGGAGGAACCTAGGCGCGGGGGTCCAGCCCTGCCACCACAACCTGGGCTGTTGTATGGGGCCAGTCACTTCCCTCTCGGGCCTCAGTCTCCTCATCTGTAGACTTGGGGGAGTGGCTACCCCATGCCTTGCCTAACCCACAGGATTGCAGTGATGTCATGGAATGGGAGGAGCCAGCTAACCTGGGAGGTGCAGATATAATGGAATTCTGCAAATTTCCAGTTAGACTCACTGATGGAGGCAGGGCAAATCAGGTAGCAGTTCCTACCAGCAAATTATGTCTACGCCTGGTACATCTCAGGGGCTCGGGAAGCATTTGCTAATTGCAACAGGAAGGGTAACAACAATAACGACAGTATTCAAATTGCTTTTTTTTTTTTTTTTTGAGATGGAGTCTTGCTCTGTCGCCCAGGCCAGAGTGCAGTGGCACGATCCTAGCTCACTGAGACCTCTACCTCCCAGGTTCAAGCAATTCTTGTGCTTCAGCTTCCCGAATAGCTGGGATTACAGTCATGTGCCATCACACCTGGCTAATTTTTGTATTTTTAGTAGAGACAGGGTTTCACCATGTTGGCCAGGCTGGTCTCGAACTCCTGGCCTCAAGTGGTCTGCCTGCCTTGGACTCCCTAAGTGCTGGGATTACAGGCATGAGCCACCACACTCAGCCCCGAATTGCTTTATGCGGTATGCTACTCATCCTCAACAATCCTCAGAGTTGAAATCACTAGCTGCCCAGGGTCACCAAGCTAGGACGAGGCAGAGCTGGGATCTGAACCCAGGCAGTCTGCTTCCAGAGTTCAAGGTGGTTATGGGTTGAATTATGTACCCCCTCCCAAATTCATATGTTGAAATCCTCAACCTCAGTGTTCCTGAGGATAGTGTCATCACTGATGTAATTCCTGAAGATGAGGTCCTTCTGGAGTCAGGTGGGTCCCTAACCCAATAGGACAGATGTCCTAATAAAAAGGGAAGTGTAGACACAAAGACAGGCATAGAGACAAGAGGATGTGAGGAGACCCAGAAACGAGATGACCACCTACAGGCCGAGAAGAGAGGCCACCCAGCTTGTGGTAGAGTGGCGCAGAGCCACGGCTGCCTGGCAAACGAATACAATGGCCTTAATCCCAAATTAAACTGAGTGCATGCATGAATGAATAGCCTGCTTTGGACTGCAATTAGAAACACCTAGTCTGCCACGAGCCTTCCAATCCTCATGACTTCATGCGCCCCTGTCCTGGCCAGCTACCTATAAGTCACATGTGTTTAAAAGGGGAGGAGGAGGTCTACAGAAAAAAAAAATAATAATAATGAAAAAGGGAGCCGGATGCGGTGGCTCATGCCTGTGGTCCAGCACTCTGGGAGGCCGAGGCGGGTGCATCACCTGAGGTCAGGGGTTTGAGACCAGCCTGGCCAACATGGTGAAACTCTATCTCTACTAAAAATACAAAAATCAGCTAGGCATGGCGGCAGGTGCTGTTAATTCCAGCTACTTGGGAGGCTGAGGCAGGAGACTCGCTTGAACCCAGGAGGTAGATATGGCAGTGAGCTGAGATCATGCCACTGCATGCCACCCTTGGCGAGAAGGTGGGACTTCATCTCACACAAACAAACAAATAATAAATAAAGGGTCAGGGAAGTGACCAAGGACAGTAACTTGGTCACACTTTTGACTTGACAAAAATTTCCTGTGCATTTCACACATGCATGACCCTCTTAACAAAAAGGAAGAGAGGCTGGCCTCCCTGCTTCTATTTAGTTTGACAAGGGTGAAAGGGTGAGGGGACCCTCACCTCACCAACCAGCCTTCGGGGTGTCTCAGAGAGATCCCTGCAGAGAAAAACCAGACAGCAGAGGGCGCCCTTCACACGTGCTCACCAATTGCTCAATTTAATTTGCAATCACAGACACTCGATTCACCTTTTCTCATTTAAAGCAAACTGCATCACCCACGAAGATAACAGCAACAGGGCTGGCACCTGCTGTGTCCCAGGCACAGTGTTAAGCTCTGTACGCACATCTTATTCAGTCCTCAAGACCACCCCTTGAAGGAGGTACTGTCAACATCCCCTACTTTATCCATGAGATGAGCAGGATTCAGAGAGGGCAAGCCACTCGCCCAACGCTGCACAGCCAGGAAGTGGCTCCAATGTCAGGCAAGTCACTCTATTGCTCCCAAACCCCTCTTGGCCTCTAAGGTTGCAGCTGTAAATTTGCAGCCCTCCGCAGCATCCTTTTCCCCCCTTCACCTTGGCTCTCTGCTTCCAGAAACTTCACTGCTGTACACAGCATATAACCTGGAGACAGGGACCTTCTTGGGCACAGGGATTCCCAAGTCTTACAGAGCCTGCTTGGGTAATGTTTTCCCCGCCGTCTGCACACCCAGACTTGCTAACAGCTCTGTGGAGGTTAATAAGGTTCAGAGGACTGAAACCTGGGTTCCTGCCCCTCCCCTCCCTCACCAAGTGACCTTGGTCTCACCTTGAACCCCAATGACAGGGAGCAGAAAGGGGCTCTAGACATTGTCAGGCCCCAGGATTCAACCCCTGATGTTTTCTGGGATCAGTGGGTGAAGCTGAGCAGGGAGGGGCTCCTGGAGAGGATCAATGAGGAGTGGTCGGGCTGTGGCATCAGGAAGGGAGGTCATGATGCCCCCCTTTGGGGCAACCTTTTCTCCACCCCAGCTGGCTCTTGCTATTTGAAAAAGTGGAGCAAAAAGTGGACCCAGTGCTGGCAGATTTTCTATTTTCAGCCAGAGATCTGAATTTTTCTATGAAATCTTCATAATTTTATTTATTTACTTAGAGTCTCGTTCTGTCACTCAGGCTGGAGTGCAGTGGTGTGATCTCAGCTCACTGCAACCTCTGCCTCCTGGGTTCAAGTGATTCTCCTGCCTCAGCCTCCTGGGTAGCTGGTCCTACAGGCATGCGCCACCACGCCCGGATTTTTTTTGTATTTTTAGTAAAGACAGGGTTTTACCGTGTTAGCCAGGATGGTCTCCATCTCCTGACCTCTATGACCTGCCCACCTCGGCCTTCCAAAGTTCTGGGATTACAGGCACGAGCCACAGTGCCCAGCTGAAATATTCACATTTTTAAAGGTTGGGGACCAATTCAACATTTTTTTTAAATTAGAAAAAAAAACAAAAACCCATAGAATACATGTGTACTGGATCTTCCCCAAAGCCCACCAGCTTGCATCCTCTGACCTAAGCCCACCCCTTCTCCTACCCCATTTTCCTGATGGGAAACCGAGACCCCAGAAGCAGTTCCAGCTGCACAGTCAAGGCCCTGCCCCTCTTCAGCCTCCGCAGTTTCTCTTTCTGTAAGGCGCGGGTGGAGGGGGTCTTTGTCCTGCCCCCCATGGTCCCGTGTCAAGGGAGCAGAGGAAATCCTTGCGAAGCCTGAGGCACATGTGTGTTGCCTGCACAGAGCCGGCAAAGCTTCCTAATCCACTCCGCGCTTAGGTCTGCTCAGGTCTCCGCAGCACAAAGCTGCAGCCACTCCTCTCCCGCCCCACCAATCTCGCTCTGCCCTTGGGCCAGCAGGCGTCCCTCCAGCTCAGTTCCCTGAAAGCCAGAGGGATTATGAACCCGGGATCCCGTGGTGGCTCCCGGGCCAGCTCACCTTCTTGCACACATAGTCGTTGGGCAGGTAGACAACGGAACGAAGCCTCTTCAGCATGTCAAAGATCATCTGTCGGTCACAGCCCTGTCCCGGTGAGGAAGCAAAAGGAACGCTGTTTAGAGAAGATTGGGCTTGGAGCCTCCCACAGCCCTGAGGGCGAGGCACCAAAGGGTGTACCTGAAAAAGTGCAACTTGGCTAACAATGTCGTAGTTCACATCGATGGCCAGGTCCAGCCGCATCTTGTCTGGAAGCTGCACCATCAGCTCTGACTCATCTGTGAACAAGGCCTGGCAGGGGTCAGAGGCAAGGCCGGGCCCCACCCCTGGCACATATATGAGCCAAGTGCCCGCCTACCAGCTCACCAGGGCACACCAGTGCCTGCCACACGGAACCACTCTAGATTTGTAGAGCACCTTCTCTCGCCTCCAGGCCTTTGCCGATACCGCTTCCTCTGCCAGGAGCACTCCTATCCATTTCCCAAAATCCTACTCATTCTTCAGGACCTAGCACTAATGTCACCTCTTCCAGGAAGGCTTCCCTTGACATGCCCCACTCAGCTACTATGTTAGTAGCCCCTGTGCTGTTGCAGTGGTTCCCACTCCCCTGTAAGGACAACATCAGCATTTTTTTTTAAGGCAAAGTCTCGCTCTATCTCCCAGGCTGGAGTGCAGTGGCATGATCTCAGTTCACTGCAACCTCTACCTTCCCACTTCAAGCAATTCTCCTGCCTCAACCTCCTGAATTTCTGGTGCAACAGGTGCCTACCACGCCCTGCTACTTTTTTGTATTTTTAGTAGAGATGGCATTTCACCATGTTGGCCAGGCTGGTCCCAAATGCCTGACCTCAGGTGATCCACCCACTTCAGCCTCCCAAAATGCTGGGATTATAGGCACAAGCCACTGCATCTGGCCAAGCCAGACACTTTTTAATAGAGTGTTTTATAAAGATTATCTTAGTTTTTAGTTTTGGTTAAAATAATTTTTTTAAATACTTCGAACCCTAAGAAGCTAAAAAATTTTTTTTTTCTTTTAGAAATGAAGTCTCACGACATTGCCCAGGTTGGTCTGAAAACTCCTGGGCTCAAGCGATCCACCCACCTCAGCCTCCCAAAGTGCCGGGATTATAGGCATAAACCACCGCACATGGACTTATTTTTATTTTTCTGAGACAGGGTCTTACTCTGTCACCCAGGCTAGAGTGCAGCGGCACAGTCACAACTCACTGCAGCCTCGACTTCCTCAGGGTCAAGCGATCCTCCAGCCTCAGCCTCCTGAGTAGCTGGGACTACAGGCATGCACCAACACACCCAGCTAAATTTTTTGACTTTTTGTAGAGACAGGGTTTTACCATGTTGCCCGGGCTGGCGGATCACCTGAGGTCAGGAGTTCGAGACCAGCCTGACCAACATGGTAAAACCCCATCTCTACTAATAATATAAAAATGAGCCGGGTGTGGTGGTGTGGGCCTGTGATTCCAGCTACTTGGGAGGCCAAGGCAGGAGAATCACTCGAACCTGGGAGATGGAGGTTGCAGTAAGCTGAGATTGCTCCACCTGCACTCCAGTCTGGGTTACGGAACAAGACTCCATCTCAAACAAACAAACTGCACTTTGCTCTCGGATGGGACGCATTTCAAGGTGGGTGGAGTGAGGGGAGCAGGCACACAGAAGACAAACCCCACCAAGTCTTCAGGGATCTCACGCCCCTGCTAGAGGCACCTCAGAGGCCCCACTGCGCCTCTCTCACACCAGTGTTGAGGCCACAGCCAAGAGAGGCCCTAGTGCTCAGGGCCTCAGAGACACAGAGGAGGAGGGGGGCACCCTGAGGGCCGGGCAACAGGAGTTGGCTGGGAGCTGGTGGCCGCCAGGGCATGACCGTCTTACCCAGCATGCCTTGTGATTGCCAGGTGTACTCGTACCAGGTCTTGACGCGGTTCTGCACGGACTTGGGGATCTTGTAGAAGTTCATGTACTTCACCGTGCTGTCCATGCAGCTGCGGTAGTAGGTCTGGCCCGCGGTGGCGGCCCCTACCACGTCTCTCATCTGCAGGGGATAGTTAGGAGAGGTCAAGGAAGCCGCTGGGTCATGGGAGGGCTATTCCCTGGGTTTGGGATGTGTCACTTGACACAGACCAGGGGCATGTGCTCCCCGCGGGGCATGGGGATGGGGGGGGAGGCAGATGTCCTCACACAGAGAAGGTTTTACTGAAGGGAAGTTCTGCCTCCAACATGGATGTAGAGAGAGGGAGGGAGACTGCCAGCCCCTTGGTGGCTCAGGTCCCTGGGACCACCCTGGGGGGCATAGCTCCTTGGGCTGGGCTGATCCTGGCACAACACAGTCCCTCGGTGCCAGTGGCCACTTTGTCTGACTCCATGCTGGAGGAAATAGGAAGCCAGTATGTGCTGTTCCTTGGGACGGGGCCCTTCAAAGGTAACTTTGAGGACCTCTGACTGTCACCTTGTGTCCCTACCAGAATGTAAGATGCTGCCCCAGCACACCAGAAACCCCAGGGGTTTCTCCCAAAGGGAACAGCCCAAATCCTCAGTCTCTGCAGAAAACCATTCAGCCCAGAGCACCCAGAGGAACTGACCTCAGAGGGGGAACAGGGCCGAGCTCACCAGCACCACCACCCCACAGGGCCCAGTGCTGCAGCTCCTCTCAGTCCACTGTTCTTTCCCACGCTTAATCCAAAAGGACGGGGCGCAGAGAAGGACATTTCTGGTAACAGTGGGAGGGGGCCTACAGTCAGGTGGGGTGGGAATCCTGGTTGGTGTCCTGATACCTGTCCGATCATCACAGAGAAAGCAAAGACGCCTGTAAAATAATTCAGCAGCTGGAAGACAATTTCAAAGAGCGTCTTGGGGTCAGGCAGCCCCCCAATGGTGATGAGGGTCTTCACAGCAAAATAGTAACAGCGAATATAACTGGAAAGAGAGGAGAAAGGGAACCTGGGTCATCACAGGCCCTACTCTGCCACCCCTGAGTGGTCTGGCTCAGACACATCTGATAGATGCGTATTGTACAAAAGACAGAAACCCTTTACAGCTCATAAATGCAGGAAAAACCACCTCCAGCACATGTAGAGCCTGTTGCTGTTTGCAGAGCAGGTTCACACATGCTATCGGGTGTGGTTGTGTCTCTAGGGACAGGGTGTCATCCCTATTTACAGATGTGGAAACTGAGGTTCCCCAGGATTTTCAGGAAGAGTTGGCAGGAGGCCAGACGAGGGTCTTCCAACTCCTAATGACAGGGCTCCCTCAGTTTCCTTCAATGTTCCTTCAATTTCCAATCTTTTCATTTGCTATCCCCTGCCATGTTGGCTTGTGAAAAGCAAAAACAACATCAAGTTTGGGAAATATCTTGAGGAGGACTTTTTCTGACCCTCCTTCTTGCCCATCCATTTTCCAGATAGTGAAACTGAGGCCCCCAAAGGGGAAGGGCACACCCGTGGTCACCAGCTGATAAGCACCAGAGCTGGGTGCTGTCTGCTTCTCTGAGATGCCATCCACTAGCAGTAACCCCCTGACACAGGCTTGTGAATTTTTGGAAGGGAGGTATGGGAGTTGGGGTCCTACTGTGTGGTAAAAGCCATAGGAAATGCCCCCAAGTGCTCTAGTCTAAATGTATCCTCCAAAACTGAGGTGTTAGAAACTTGATTCCCAATGCGATGGTGTTGGGAGGTAGGGCCTTTGGGCACTGTTTAGGTCACAAGGGCTCTGCCCTCATGAACAGAAATATAAAGCCTTATATAAAGCTGTTATATGAGGTTCTGAGGGAGGGTTTTCGCTCCTATCATCCTTCTGCCTTCTGCCTTCTGCCATGTGAGGACGGCACTCCTTCTCCAGTGGACATTGTGGCATTCAAGACACCATCTTGGAAGCAGAGAGCAGCCGTCACCAGATGCCAGCAGCTTGATCTTGGATTTCCCAGCTTCCAGCCAGAACAGTGAAAAATAAGTTTCTGGCTTTTTTGTTTTTTTGTTTTTTGTTTTTTTAGATGGAGACAGAGTTTTGTTCTCATTCCCCAGGCTGGAGTGCAATGGCGTGATCTCAGCTCACCGCAACCTCTGCCTCCTGGGTTCAAGCGATTTTCTTGCCTCAGCCTCCTGAGTAGCTAGGATTACAGGCGAGTGCCACCACAATGCCTGGCTAATTTTTGTATTTTTAGTAGAGACAGGGTTTCACCATGTTGGCCAAGCTGGTCTCGAACTCTTGACCTCAGGTGATCTGCCCACCTCGGCCTCCCAAAGTGCTGGGATTACAGGCGTGAGCCACCATGCCCGGCCAGTTTCTGTTCTTTCTATGTTACCCAGTCTCACGTATTTTACAAGAGCAGCTCAAAAGGCACTAAAACACGAAGGTTGTGTGTGATTATCACAGAGCAGCAAGGGTCCCTCTGACACCTGTCCACACCTCAGGCTGAGTCCTCCCTGGGTCAGCAAAGGTGAGGTCAGAGGGCCTAGAGACCGGGCAGTCCCAGCAGGCTTTCCTTCACCAGCTATTTATGCAGCATCCTAGATAGAACATGGGCTCCGGATGAGGCCGCCTGAGCTCAGCCACCTTCTAGCTGTATAACTTGGACAAATGTCTCTCTCTCTCTCTCCAAGCCTCAGTTTCCTTCTCCCTAAGATGGAGATGGCAATAGAATGTCCCTCTCAAAAGACCATGAAGACAAAATGAGATGCCAGAAGACAGCCTGGCATGTGGTGGACTCTCAGCAAGGGAAGTCACAGCCTTCACAGCTCTCCTTGCCTGCCACAGGGAACAGAACAGACTTGCCCATATCCTCAAGAAGTTCGTGGCCCAGTGGGGACAGGCAGGTAATGTGCAATGCGTTCTGGAAGGAGGAAGCAGAGGTTGCTGGGGAGTGTGGTGGGGGCTCTGCCTCTGATAGCTGCGGGGCCTTGGGCAACACTGCGGACTGCCCTGCACCTCCCCATCACCTGTTGCCTAAAAGTTTCAGAACCCAGGACAGGCCAATCAAGCCACTGTCATACTGGTTCTGGCCATCAGAGGGCGCGTGAAGCAGCATTTAGCCGAATGGAGCAGCCGCCAACTCTGCAGACCCCTGGGCTGTCCGGGAGCTGGGTGCTTATGCCACTGGGTCACCAACAGAGAGAGGACATAGGCACGATGTCCACAAAGCTCTGGCTTTACCCCAAACCCTTTCAGGTTGGAGGAATCTTCCAATGACATGGCACATCTTAGGGCCTCCCTGAAGTCTCGTCTCCTTGCCTTCCACGCTACTGGGTCTGCGGGGACCCTCTGTGCTTCAGGCTGGGCAGAACCGAGGCAGGAGAGCCCTGGGGCAGGAGGCAGGGTCTGGCATTTGCAGGCGCTTGGGACCTCGAGCCCCCAGCACACAGCAAGCCCTCCACAAATGCTCGCTTTGTAAAAGTTCCTAATATTGGAATTTCTGAGGAATCCTCCTTTGTTACTCATACTTGGTTCACATGTTGGGGTTCCCTGCAGGATGTCATTTGGGAAACAGTATTTCTGCCAAGGAAGTGTGCCCTTCCCTCTGCTGGGCAGCTAGAGCTCCTCCCATAGAGGGTCCTGCAGAAGGAGGTCCCAGACTGCTGTCCCCCTGCCCCACCCTGCTCTGTTTACCCTCCCTTCCCCAAGCTGCCCAGTGACGGATGTGCCAGGCTTAGCCCCAGGGAGGAGAGTTCTTAGTTTATTGGGGCACAAGCGCCTTTGAGAATCTAGAGAAAGCCAGCACTGTTTCCCTAGAAAAGCCCAAATATTCTCAAATTTTAGCTCCACAAAAAATCAAACATCGCATGTTCTCACTCATAGGCGGGTGTTGAACAATGAGAACACATGGACGCATGGAGGGGAGCACTACACACTGGGGTCTGTAGGGGAAATAGGGGAGGGACAGCGGCGGGTGGGGAGTTGGGGAGAGATAGCATGGGGAGAAATGCCAGATATAGGTGATGGGGAGGAAGGCAGCAAATCACACTGCCACGTGTGTACCTATGCAACAATCTTGNTGAGAACACATGGACACAGGGAGGGGAGCACTACACACTGGGGTCAGTTGGGGGGAAATAGGGGAGGGACGGTGGGGGGTGGGAAGTTGGGGAGAGATAGCAAGGGGAGAGATGCCAGACATAGGTGATGGGGAGGAAGGCAGCAAATCACACTGCCACGTGTGTACCTATGCAACAATCTTGCATGTTCTTCACATGTACCCCAAAACCTAAAATGCAATAAAATAAAATAAATAAAATAAAATCACCTGGGAAAAAAAAATTTAGCTCCAATGTCCAGGGGGGGTTGTGACCCCTCAAATCCCTATACCCCAACGTGCTGGCTTCCCACAACAATAGCCATAGCGTGGTGGGTCGGGGTACCAGCTCCTGTTCAGGCCCAGGTTAGACGTGCTACACATATTTATTTATTATTTCTCATAAGAAATCTAGATATCGGCGGGCGCAGTGGCTCATGCCTGTAATCCCAGCACGTTAGGAGGTTGAGGTGGGCAGATCATGAGGTCCGGAGTTTGAGACCTGCCTGGCCAACATTACCTGAAACCCTCTCTCTACTAAAAATACAAAAATTAGCCTGGCATGGTGGTTGGCACCTGCAATCCCAGCTACTCGGGAGGCTGAAGCAGGAGAATCATTTGAACCCGGGAGGTGGAGTTTGCAGTGAACTGAGACCGTGCCATTGTACTCCAGCCTGGGCAACAGAGCAAGACTCCATCTCAAAAAAAAGAGAAGAAAAGAAATGTGGATGTAATTTACCCCCATTGTGCATAAGGGAATACTGGGTCTCAGAAAGGGTAAGGTCACAGAGCTCAATTCCACGCAGAACTTGCGTTCTCCCCTTTGCATAGAAAGGGCCTTCAAGTCCCTCTCTGCCTCCTGGTGAAGGGTTAAATGAATGAGGAAGTGAATGAATGAATGGTCTGGTCAGGGCTCAGGAGCAGGGCTGTGAATGGGAGCGGGTAACAGGGCCACTGGTGACAAGGGGGAGCATTAGACCTTGACCCCACCCCTGATACTCTCCAGCCCACAGAAGCTGTCAGGAACTCCCCTCCTGCCTGCCTGGGCTGCCGTGGCCTCTGGGACGTCTGTTTTGAGACAAAGTCTCACTCTGTCGCCCAGGCTGGAGTGCAGTGGCACAATCTCAGCTCACTGCAACCTCCGCCTCCCAGGTTCAAGCGCTCTCCCCATCTCAGCCTCTTGAGTAGCTGGAATTACAAGCATGCACCACCATGCCCAGCTAATTTTTATATTTTTTGTAGAGAGGGGGTTTCGCCATATTGCCCAGGCTGGTCTTAAACTTGTGAGCTCAAGCGATCCGCCTGCCTCAGCCTCCAAAAGTGCTGGGATTACAACATGAGACACCGCAACTGGCCTGGGTCATCTCTGTAAAGGCATGGCCCCCTCAGGCCAGGGCTCAGAGGGCGAGAGCCATGGCCATGGTGGCTGAGGTTGGGGCATCTGTACTCGGAGGGGACGTTCTGAACAAAGAACCCCTCTATGAAGAAGCCACCTTGGAAGCAAGTGACCCACCTGTTCCTACTAAGGACAAGGGCCTGGAGCTGGACAGCTGGACCTCGGGCATTTTGTGTCACTATTGGGCACAGCCCAGAGTGAGGTGGAGCCCCCTTCAGTGACTAACTCCTACTGGACCTTTCCTTCTTCCACCTTCTCATCCTCACTGTGGCCAATTGAGCGCCCACTGTGCCCAGGCCCTAGGGCAGCAGCTCAGAGGCATCCACTCCTCAGTCACCTCTTTAAGGTGGGTGTCCCAATTGCAGCCCCATTTTGCAGGTGAGGTAACTGAGGCCCAGAAAAGAGAAGTGGCCTGTCTCCACCGCCAGGGGGCAGCTCTAGAAGTCACACCTGGGACTCCTCATCCCTCGTCCCTCAAGCCTCCACTCTGACTCTGCAGGCCCCCACCCCATGCATCCCTCCTGCCCACACTGCCCTCCCTCCCCAGCACCCGGTCAAGCCACCCCTTGGCCTGGAGGGTTTGCTGCTGTTGCTGACACAGCAGGGCCCCTTGCTGGCTCTCTGCTGCCTCCCCTCTCTCAGTGCTCCCTCCCATCAGAGAGGGTGGGCTTTCCGAGAGCCCTCCCTCTGCTCACTCTCCTGCTTAAGGCTTTTGACAGACAATTTCGGCTCACCACAACCAGGGGAGAGAGTGTCACCTTCAACACCATCCAGCCTTAAAATGGGGTGCATGCCTATAACCCCAGCACTATGGGAGGCCAATCGCAGGCAGATGGCTTGAGCTCAGGAGACTGAGACCAGCCTGGGCAACACAGCAAAACTTCATCTATACAAACAATTAGACAGGTGCAGTGGTATGTGCCTGTGGTCCCAGCTACTTGGGAGGCTGAGGTGGGAGGATCACTTGAGGCTGGGAGGTGTAAGTTACAGTGAGCTAAGATGGCACAACTGCACTCCAGCCTGGGCAACAGAGAGCAAGACCCTGTCTCAAAAACTAATAATAATTTAGGTGGAATATATATAGGAACTCTCACTACTTTCCAATGGACCTCTCTATAAACTTCAAGTCACTCTTTTAAAAAATTAAGTCTGTTCATCACAATAATTTAATTTTTTTTTTTTTTTGACAGGCTCTTGCTCTCTGTTGCCCAGGCTGGAGTACAGTGGCACAATCTCAGCTCACTGCAACCTCTCCATCCCGGGTTCCAGCAATTCTCCTGCCTCAGCCTCCTGAACAGCTGGGATTACAGGCGTGCATCACCATACCTGGCTAATTTTTGTATTTTTAGTAGTGTTGTGGTTTCGCCATGTCGACTAGGCTGGACTCGAGCTCCTGGCCTCAGGTGATCCACCCACCTTGGCCCCCCAAAGCCCTGGGATTACAGGCATGAGTCACTGCACCTGGCTAAAAACTTTTAAACTCTCTGTAACTTTTGATGACTTTTGCTGGAATCAACTATGCTCATGCCCACTTCCCCCACACCCTCTGGCCACCAGGTTGGCACTTTTCCTTTTCATCAAGGAAGATGGTACAGCAGTTAGGACTCTGTGGCCACAACACCTGGGTTCAAATTCCAGCTCTGTAACTCATGACCTATGTGTCCTTGGGAACTAGTATCTGCTACCTCATCTGTGAAATGAGGATGGGATGATACCTATCTGATGTGCTGGTTGTGAGTTATCATGTTCAGTGCTTTAAACAGGGATGGCATGAAACAGGTGTCCTACAAGGCTTGCTGCTTTGATGAGACTTGTCATCATCATCGTCACCATCATCATCATTGTAAACCAAAAATAAATTCTAAGGCCCCCAACCATCTGAATGGACCCCTCCTCTTGGCCAAGGGCTTTCCATAGTGATCTAAAAACCTAATTCAGCCTATGAAGGAAGAGGGGGTGGGACACGCCTCTTTATACCCCTGCAGCGTCAACATCAACACAGACTTTAAGTCTGGTGAGAAACATTATAGTGTCTTCTCTCTAAAGCCCGCTACATGGAGGCTTCATCTGCATGAAAACACCTAGATCACCACAACCCCTTATCATAAACCAGACACTCCTTTCCACTGATAATAAGTCTTTCAGGCCAGGCACAGTGGTTCACGCCTGTAATCCCGGCACTTTGGGAGGCCGAGTCGGGTAGATCACAGGCCATCAGTTCGAGACCAGCCTGACCACCATGGTGAAACTCCGTCTCTACTAAAAATACAAGAATTAGCTGGGTATGGTGGCATGCACCTGTAACCCCAGCTACTCAGGAGGCTGAGGCAGGAGAATTGCTTGAACCAGGAGGAGGAGGTTGTAGTGAGCCGAGATCATACCACTGCACTCCAGCCTGATCTGTCTAAAACTAAAGTAAGTGTTTCAACCAATTGCCAAGCAGGGAATTTTTATTTTTTATTTTTATTATTTGTTTTATTATTTTTTTTTAGACAGAGTCTTGCTCTGTCACCCAGTGCAATGGTGCAATTTCGGCTCACCACAACCTCCACCTCCTGGATTCAAGTGATTCTTGTTCCTCAGCCTATATAACTGAGACTGCACGCACTGCCACCACACGCAGCTAATTTTTGTATTTTTAGTAGAGACGGGGTTTCCCCATGTTGGTCAGGCTGGTCTTGAACTCCTGACCTCAGGTGACCCGCCCGCCTCAGCCTCCCAAAGTGCTGAGATTACAGGCATAAGCCACCGCACCCAGACTTTTTTTTTTCCAAGCAGAGAATTTTTAAATCTACGTATGACCTGGAAGCTACCCTTCCCTTTCAGTTGTCCTGCCCTTCCAGATCTAACCAATATAAACCTTACATTTATGTATTCATTGATGTATTACACATCCCTAAAATGTATAAAAGCAAGCTGCACCTGACCACCTTGGGCACACGTCATCAGGAACCCCCAAGGCTGTGTCACGGGCACATCCTTAACCTTGGCAAAATAAACTTTCTAAATTGATTGAAACGTGTACCAGATACTTTTTGGTTCACACATCATCATCATCCCTTTGGCAAGTCTCATAAGAGATGGCAGCTCTCTGATTGGCAAGTGGGTCTCATCTTGTTCACTGGCGCCTCCATGGTAGCGGTGCCTAGGGAGCTGTGCTGGGAAGTATTCTCTGGCCTCACTCGCTCTTGGCCGTGCCCGGGGAAGCAGGAGTAGAGGCACACATAGTGTATTTGCCCACCCTACTAGACTTTGGATGTGGAAAGGATCTGCCTAGCAAGTCTCGTTCATACCAGTATCTCCCGCCTGACACACTCAGATGCTCAGGAAACCTTAGCTTAGGGAAGATGTGGTGATGTGGCTCTTTTTCTATTTTTATCTTTTGAGATGGAGTTTCACTCTTGTTGCCCAGGCTGGAGTGCAATGGCACGATCTCAGATCACTGCAACCTCTGCCTCTTGAGTTCAAGCGATTCTCCCACCTCACCCCCCACACCCAGTAGCTGGGATTACAGGATCACATCACCACGCCTGGCTAATTTTTGTATTTTTAGTAGAGACGGGGTTTTACCATGTTAGCCAGGCTGGTCTCAAACTCCTGACCTCAGGTGACCCGCCCACCTCAGCCTCCCAAGTGCTGGGATTACAGGTGTGAGCCATCATGCCCGGCCCAAGACGTAGCTCTTGAGCCTTGTCATGCCAGCGATTCCTTAGGAGCAAACTGGCCTTGGCAACACAGCAGCAATGATGCTCCTTCCTGGAGTCTCTGTGCTGTGAATTATAAAGAACAGGAAGATCACCCAGGTGTGGTCCCGGGAGGACGACTGTGGCTCACCTGTTTCCCACGCCATCGTAAACCCAGTGAGTGGAGCCGAGGCCCTGATAGGCGGACGCCCAGTAATAAAGACAGGAATTCAAATGCAGGCTGTAGAGAAGGTAGGCTGTGGTCCTGATGACCCTGCAGAAGGAACGCAGCGCATGAACACAGTGGTGGAAGGGGGCGGCGAGGGGTACACACCTGGCCAGTGGGAGCCAACCCATGGCTGGGCTGCCAGATTGGATGCTTTGTTGAGATTGCACCAGTTAGGAAGTGTGGTGCTTGAATGGGGTGTTGTCAGGAGCTGGGGCTAGAATTGGCACAGAAGTAGCAGAGCTGCCTGTGCACTGGGCAAGTGGAGGGGCCAGAGGGGAAATGTGGGAGGAGGGGCGGGAAGGAGTGATGTGTGCAGAGGAGTTGAAGCTGGGCCGTGTTGCCCCGGAAGAGATGTGGACAGGAACCTTGCTCCCTAGCACAGCCTGGCTGGTCTTGCACCCCATCCTTAGACATCTGTGACATGGTCGCTGCCACCTTACATCTGTTCCCTTTCTGTGAGAGCCGGCTGGGGACTCCAGTTCCTGGAGCTGAGGCCAAAATGATGCCCAGCTGGCTGCAATGCTGGTAAGCCCGTCTTGCCGGCTGATGTGTGCCCTCATCACAGTGGGGGGCATCAGATATTCCTGGTTCTCTAAATAACAAACGTTTCTCCAGGAAAGGGGAGGGACCAGGAAGTCGCCTGGCTTCCAGTGGAGACAGGGCCTGGAAGTCAGTAGGGGTAGAAAATGCCTTGCTGTATATTCTAGGTGTAAACTTCCTGTGGTGTGTGTGTGTGTGTGTGTGTGTGTGTGTGTGTGTTTTGTGTGTGTGTCATTTGTATGTGTTGTGTGTGTACGTTGTGTGTATGCCGTTTGTGTCATGTGTGTGCTGTTTGTGTCATGTGTGTGCCATTTGTGTCGTGTGTGCCATTTGTGTCATGTGTACATTGTGTTGTGTCATGTGTGTATTGTGCGTAGTGTGTCATTTGCATCGTGTGTGCATTGTGTGTCACGTGTCATGTGTGTTGTGTGTATTGAGTGTTGTGTCTGTTGTATGTGTTGTATGTGTGTATGTGTTGTGTGTTTGTGTGTTGTGTGTGTCCATGCATGCACACGCGGAAGAGTCTCACCTGTACACGTAGGCTTTGCTGAGGACGGATTCCAGGCGGTTGTTAAACTCGAAGAAGGCCATGTACTGGAGGGAGAGCAGGGCATGAGAGCAGTCCATTGCCCGCAGGTAGCTCGCTGCCCTCACGCCCACGGGTGCCAGGACTCAGGGCCCTTCCTGCAGCCCCCGGGAGGAGGGAACAGGACGGTGAGCATTCAAAATCAGAAGTCCTCGGCTCTTTGAGGGGTAGGGGCCAGAAACTCCATTTAGGAATCTGATGAAAGTCATTGCCTGTCTTCCCTTGGAAATGACATAAAATCCTGTTCTCACAATTTTAATGTAATTCCAGGGGACTCCTGGACCTTCTGAACCCTATCATGAGACTTTTAGGGGTGCAATGAATAAAGATGCTGCTGTTTTTATTGTTTCTTATAAAGAAAACAATTTTATAAAGAGACAGCATAACTAACACCCCACTCTTATATCCTTCGAATGTTTATTTATAATAATAAAGTATATTAATTGAGTATCTTTATATGACTGGCTTTTTTTTTTTTAAGAGACAGAGTCTCACTCTGTCACTCAGGCTGGAGTGCAGCAGTGCGATCATAGATCACTGCAGCCTCGAACTTCTGGGCTCAAGCAATTTTTCAGTCTCAGCCTCCTAAGTAGCTGGGACTACAGGCACACACCACCACTCTTGGGTAAGTTTTAAATTTTTTGTAGAGACAGGCTCTCACTTTGTTACCCAGGTTGGTCTCAAATTTCTCTGCTCAAGTGATCCTCCTGCCTTGGCCTTCTAAAGTGCTAGGATTATAAGCATGAGCCACCACGCCTAACCAGCATATACATTTATATACATTACCTTACTGCTTATTTACATATGAAATATGTGTTGTCATTCTCCTTTGGCAGAAACTGGTGCTCAGAGTAGTCCAGTAACTTGTCCAAAGCACACAGCTGGTATGTGAGAGACTCAGCATTCAAACTCAGGCCAGACTCAAAGCTGCAAGCTCTCTCCTTATGCTAAACCATCTCTGGATCTTTGTATTTATTTTTTGACATTTGAAAACAGTATTTATGAAGATTCCCTAAGGGATATGCCAGTCATCCAGGTGTTCATTTTAATTCCACCCACAGTTTAAACTGGAGGCAGAAAGAACAGGGGCTTGGATGCCTCACTCAGAAAGTTTTGTCCATGGCGTGGTGTTCAATGTTAGGCTGTGAGTTATGCCCTCTCACTGGGGCCACCACGTGAACCAAAATGTAGATCTCACCTCTAAATCTGGGGTGGAACTTGGGCCTGTGGACCCAACCTTCCACACTCTGATGTTTGGCTCTAAAGCAACCTCTGCAGCCCCTGGGAGGCTAGCATGGGTCAGAGAAGAATCATGCCAATTCCACTTTCCCCTTTCCTCTTGGCAGCCAGGAAGCTCAGAGGCAGTTTCCATGATCAATTCCACATAGGCGTGCTTTCTTTTCATCAGGGCACTTATGTGCCCCCTAGTTTTATCCACCCAGTTTCTCCAGGTTGTTCATGTTACTGCATTTGACTTTTTGTAAATTCCCTCAGTATTGTTTTCAGAAAAAGGCACCAGACATCATTTCAGGAGAGAGATGAATGTGATTCGTTGGTCAGCAAAATCCATTTGAGGGATCCCGAATACTCTGAGTGGCTGTCCACCCTGGTCACATGACAGGACCATGGCCAGATCTCTAGCCCACGCTGTGGCAGCCAGACCATCCTGGAGACTTTGGCTCTGCCCAGTGAGTGGCAGGGGGAACGGCTGGAAGGACACTGAGGCCTGGCCAGTGATGAGATGGGTGTCCGGCTGTGCATTCAAATCATCCCTGGCTCTTCATTGCTCCTGTGACCTAGAGCAAGTCCCTCAGCCTCTCCAAGCAGCAATTCCCCCATCTTTTAGACAGAGACCATCATAATACAGAAGCCCCCTCTTGGGAATCTCTATATTCACTGAGAGCATAAACAGTGGAGACAGATGACCTGCATTCAAATTTGGGCTCCACTCCCTCCTGGCTGTGTGACTTTGGGCAAATTACTTAACTTCTCTGTGCCCCGGTCCCTTCATTTGTAAAATGCTGGCAATAACACTACCTACCATGCAGCATCACAGAAGCACTAGCAATTGTAATGAACTCTCCACTAGGACACACATGGAATAAATGCATCTCCCCTCAGGCCATTCCTTGAGGATGCTCCCCTCCCCAGTGCTGCTGGTGGCAGAAGAGAAGATGCCAGTGTTGGTGCAGAGCTGAAGCCCTGGGGTGGTGGGCCCAGCTGTCCTACCTTTAAACAGCGGGGCAGGCGGAGGAGGGGGTTCACACCGACTTTCAAATAGAGAAAATCCAAAGGCAGGAGGCTGAGCAGGTCCATCTGAAATCCCAATGGGACACCATGGAGGTAAAACAGGTGACCCCAGAGTTGAGGGTGAGGGGAGTGAGAGGCGGTGTCTCTCCCTTCCATAGGAAGGTGAGGTCACAATGTCCCAGGAGAGCTTACAGCTACAGGGCAAAAGGTGTCCCACCAAAAGGCTCTTGTTTGGCTTCAAAGCTCAAGTCGCCAGCCCCAAGGGCAGGTTCATTATCCCCGATAGTGGCTGCTGTATCCCACCCAGCAGGGGCGGAAGTGGTACAGACACAATGAAAGGTAGCTCCTGGCCAGATATGGTGGCTCATGCCTGTAATCCCAGCACTTTGGGAGGCTGAGGTGGGCAGATCACCTGAGGTCAGAAGTTCAAGACCAGCCTGCCCAACATAGTGAAACCACATCTCTTCTAAAAACACAAAAATTAGCTGGGCGTGGTAGCGCACACTTGTAATCCCAGCTACTAGGGAGTCTGAGGCAGGAGGATCACTTGAACCTGGGAAGTGGAGGTTGCAGTGAGCCGAGATCATACCACTGCATTCCAGCATGGGAGACAGAGTTGGATCCTGTCTCAAAAAAAAAAAAAAAGGTGGCTTCTGGGACCACACAGCCTGTGCTCATCTCCTGGGGCTTTCGGCTTGGAGGATATTCCCACAGGGACCAGTATCCCTTGGTGTGGTAGAAACCACATCGAATGGGTCCCCCAGGCACCCAGGGCCCTCTGAGACACCCCCTTCTGAAACCCTGCAGACACTACAGCTTGCCTTCCCAGCACACACCTTGAAGCGGTGAGATTTCAGGTAGTTATTCCGCATGTCCTTTTTGTCCGTCTGAAAGAAAGGGAATCATGAGCTTAATCCCTGACCCTGTGGGGAGCAATTGTGAAATTCCCCCAAGAACCCCCACTCAAATGAGCGTAACAACCCTGAGGACCATCGGAGCCTTGGTGAAAGCCTTGAGTTTTACAGGTGGAGAAGTCCACCCACCGGGGAGGAGGGATTTGTTCCAGTCACCCAGCTAGATTCTGATTGATTGGGTGGAAAACGAGGATATTAAGCTCATTGTCTCTGTCCATTGGTCTCACCTGGACCATTTGCACATCTGTTTACTAAGGAACTGATAACCACTCTGATCAGGCCAGAAAAGAGGTTCTTCAAGGAAATCTCCTTACTCTAAATTGTTTAGAGGCAAAACCTCAACTTGTCTGCACACAGCAAAACAGGCACTGCAGGGGTGGAATTTTGGAAAGTGACCCACACTGGGAGACAGTGACTGTGCCTCCTGTTACTGAGAAGTCACAGTCAGGGCCTCAGTTTCCTCCCTGGTAAGGAGTTGGTGGGGGGGCTGGACCAGAGGCCAGGGTCTCACTGGCTCAAGTAAGAGAGCATCAGTGTATTCTTTGCAAGATCCCTGGGCAAAGCCGATTGCCAGCAGTTACCTGTGCCGAATGCCCTGCAGGCATCGTTTCAACCAATCCTCATGGCAATGCTAGGAGGTGGAAGCTATTATTATCCCCATTCTACAGATGAGGAAACAGAGTTTCAAAGAGGCAATTCAGCTAGTTATGGTGGAGGTGGGATTCAAATCAGGTGCGTCTTCACTAAGGACCACTCTCTGGACCACTTCTCCACCTATGAGCAATATCTAATGTGTGCAGTTTGAACATATCAAAGGCATGAAAAATAACCAATCATGCTGTTGAGCAAGCGCAGCAGCCGTTCTTGAGATTTCCTTATTCATTGATTTTGTCATCTATGACAGCATCAGGAGTCAGTGCCCTGAAGGCTCTGGCTGGGAGATCTGCCCCTGGTCACCCCACCACCAGCTGCCGGTGACTCACAATGATGTCCCCGCCTCTGACAAACTGCAGGCGTATCTGGAACACAGTGATGTCCAGGAAGTAGATGAGGTCGCATAGGTAATCCGTCAGCAGCCAGAGGTGGATGTTGCCCGGGGTCTGGTAGGGGAAGGCCCAGCGCACAGGAATCAGCCAACAGTTCCAGTTCCAGGCCATCACCACGAAGAACAGCCATAGGATGTACATGAGGTCTGCGGGGAAGACAGGCGGGGATGCTAGAGCATCAGCCAGGCAAGGCTCTTCACCAGTGGGATCAGGCTGGGGGCTTTGTTCTTTCTACATTTCTGCACTTTCCTTCAACTACTACATGTGGCACTTTTGTAAGAGAGAGAGAGAGAGAGAGAGAGAGAGAGAGAGTGTGTGTGTGTGTGTGTGTGTGTGTGTGTGTGTGTGTGTGTGTGTGTGTAAAACTCTCTGCTTTAGGAGCCAGGCACAGTGGCTCATTCCTGTAATCCCAGTGCTTTGGGAGGCCCAGGTGGGAGGATTCCTTAAGTCCAGGAGTTTAAGACCAGCCTGGGCAACATAGCAAGACCATTCTCTACTTAAAAAAAAAAAAAATCTGCTTTAAAAATAAATCACTGGGCCAGGCGCGGTGGCTCAAGCCTGTAATCCCAGCACTTTGGGAGGCCGAGGCGGGTGGATCACGAGGTCAAGAGATCAAGACCATCCTGGTCAACATGGTGAAACCCCGTCTCTACTAAAACTACAAAAAAAATTAGCTGGGCATGGTGGCACGTGCCTGTAGTCTCAGCTACTCAGGAGGCTGAGGCAGGAGAATTGCCTGAACCCATAGGCGGAGGTTGCGGTGAGCCGAGATCGCGCCATTGCACTTCAGCCTGGGTAACAAGAGCGAAACTCCGTCTCAAAAAATAAATAAATAAATAAATCACTGCTTAACTGGCAGTCAGTACTTGAAAAATAAAACATAAAAAGAAATAAATCACTGCTAAGCCCTAATAAATCAGAGTACTCTCAGGAGAGAAAATGCTGTCATTATAAGATAATAGCCAACTAGAAAACCCATTTGCCTTCATTCTTCTTTAATTTTTTCCTAAAATGTATTTCCTGCCTTAGTAAATATAAAATAGTAAATAATGCGTGGAGGATGGAAAGAAAGATAGACAGACAGGTGAATGCACGGATGGATGGATGGATGGATGGGCATTCCAGATCACCTGGTTATTTATGTATTTATTTATTTTTATTTTTGTAGAGATGAGTTCTCATTATGTTGCCCAGGCTGATCTTGAATTCCAGGGCTCAAACAGTTCTTTCACTGTGGCCTCTCTCAGTGCTGGGATGACAGGTGTGAGCCTGCCAGGCTACCAGGTTATTTGAGAAACCCAGTGGACACCAGGGTTAAAGTCCTGGTCCCCCAAATGTGTGACCTTGAGAAAGTTTGTCTCTGGCACCTGTCCTGTCCTCTTCTGCGAAAACACAGGAAAAGGTCAGATAAGAAAGGCAGGAAGACCTCTGTAAACTCTAAAGTGCTATGCACATATGAAGTGGTGTTATTTCTGAAGAATATGGAGTGGGCTTACAGGGAAGCGAGAGTGATTCACTGTGATATTGGAAGAACTCCCGCCCTTTTTCTGCTCAGAGCAGGAGCTCCAGGAAAAAAGCCAGCATGACCAGGGTGAAAAAAGGACTTGGCCAAGAGTCAGGAGTCCTGGGTCTGCACTAACTAGTTGCATTGTTAGCCTGACTGACTTCTCTGCGCCTCAGTTTCCTCATCCGTAAGATGGAGGTGATCTTATGTTTCTCTTCCAGGGACTTTTGTTGTTTTTAAGACAGAGTCTCACTCTGTCACCTAGGTTGAAGCGTGGTAGCACGATCTCAGCTCAGTGCAATCTCCACCTCCTGGGATTGCAGGTGTGCACCATCACACCCAGCTAATTTTTGTGTCTTTAATAGAGATGGGGTTTCGCCATGTTGGCCAGGCTGGGTTTGTTTTCAGAATCAGGCAAGAAAGTGTGGAATGGTTTTGAAAAGTATAAAAGATCATGAACGCAGGTTGTCTGTGACCTCCCATCCCACCTCTCGAATCCCCTGACCTTCTCCCCACCTTGCTCCCACTCTCCTGCCCTCTCGTGTCACACAGTGGGAACACCCATGCCCCAGGACTCACTGGTCAGCGGGTCAATGCTCTGGGGAAACTGGCACTTCTTCCAGGGGCGGCGTTTGAACTTGCAGCAGAGCATGTTGCAATAGTGCTCCTCTTCCACTGGCTTGGCTTCCGCAGGCTTCGTGTCTGGAGCTGGCTCTGGGGCTTTCTTGGCTGGGGCTGTGGGATAACATTGGTGACCATCAGAACCAGCCCTGAGGCCCATATAGAAGATGCAGAGAGAAGGGTCCCAATTGCAGACCCTGGATCCAGAGCTGAGAGGGTGCTGGCACCATTATATAAACTGCTGCAAGCTCTGTGTGCAGAAGCCAAGGCACTTTCCTGGAGTGAACTCCGCAACTCCCTCCTCAACAGCAGCCTGGGTGCCCACCCAGAAACTCTTACCAACTACCAATCTGGAACTGCTTCTCCGAAGCTGCCCCAAACAAGTTTTTTCTGGGCCAGTTGGATGTTTCGGTGTCTGTTTGTGTGTCTGTGCTTAGGCCCCCTTGGTTCCTTCTGATAGAATGGGGGCATTTTGAACCCAGTGTTCCCAGTACCCATAGATGGAAGGCCAAAGGGCCTAACAAAATCAAGGAAGTGTTGCTCCAGGTTTCTGAGAGGCTATCTCAGCTCCTTCATCTCAAAAAACAGAGACCAGATGGTATCACAGCCTCCTTGTGCATCTATGATGATACTTTTGGTTACCCAGGGATTGGCTCTCATAGGTTCAATACAGCTATGTTTTCTAGCTTCAAGACTGTGACATCAGGCTCTGCATGGTCTGCTGTGGGCACTGTGATTTCCAAGATACAGCCTGCCTCGGGAAAGATCTAAAAAAATCTCCTGACAAGAGATCATTTTTCTTATTTCCTCCTGATGCCTTGAAAGAAAAGAAACACTCGAACAGCCTCAATAAGAACTTTCAAGGCACTGAGGTCTCTGAAACATAAGACTGCCTAGTTCCAGAGTAGGCTGTGCACACAATCTGAGTGTAAGACTATAAGATACATTTTGGGGTGGCACCACCTTTTCTACCAGTAGGAAAGGGACAGAAGTGTCAGTGAAGGCACCTGTCCCATAGGAGAGAGGGCTGAGTGCAACTGGATTGTTGGTCAGAACTTTGATCTTCTTCCCACTCTTGGGTACATATCTCAACCTGTTCATATGGACCCCAAATCCAGAGACTGGGGATCTGGGCTTCTCTCATGGACCTCAACCATTTCCTTGGGGCACCCTCACTGTGAGTTGACAGGGGACTTTGGAGGCCCCACCCCATCCTGGCCAGATAGGCCCCCTCCAGCTCCAGACTCACAGGGCTTGGGGCTCTCCTCATCAGAGGTAACGTCAGGGTCGATGAGTTTCTCCTTCACCTTCTCTGTCCGCTCCTTGAAGAGCTTCACCAGCTCCTGGAGCCGGTCGTTGATGATGGCGCTACTCGTGCTGGCCGTGGAGACCGCACGGTCCTGGCTGCTGTGGGAACACCACCCAAAGCTGAGCAGGCTGAGCTGGGAGGGACCCCTGAGCCCCTAGGCCAGAGCTGTGCAGCGTCTGTGTCCCACCTTCTGACAGAGGCTGAAGGAGGTGAGTCCTGCCCCCATCTCCTGACATCAGAAATCATAGGCCTACTGTAATCTCCTAGGAGGAAATTCAGTCCAAGAATAATGCCCAGGTGTTCTGGCCCAGCTTTTAGAAAATGTACCACATAGGTTGATTCAGATAGGCAGTTCTGAAAAAAGCATGATTCTACTTGTAATTTAGCAGGAAACTCTTAGAACTCAGTTTAGAGTTCAGCAAAATTGGGCGTTTGTCCCAGTGCGGGGTTCATGTGAGATACGTGTCCAAGAGCAGAACACAGAGAAAGCAGGCCTACTTTTTTAGGCTTAGGAAACTGCTGGTGGGAAAAGCAGTGCAGATACATTCTATATTCCTTTAGCTTACAGGAATTAAAGTTTCTGCACTGTCAGCGAGAGAGAGAGAGAGAGAGAAACAGAGAGTCAGAGAATGAATGAGCCTGCCTAGCATTCAACTCAGCGTGGGCGTGTGCCCTGGGTGCACAGAGGCAGGCCTGTGAATGTGCTTTCTTTCCTCTGAGTGGCCTCACTAAGATCATCTTGCTGAGCTGAATATCTTTTTTAACTTTTTTTTTTTTTCATATATTAAGACACAGGAACTGCAGTCAACTACTCTTTTTGAGCTCAACTGAGGAAGCCAGGCTGAGTTTCACTCTTGTTACCCAGGCTGAAGTGCAGCCGCACGATCTCAGCTCATTCAACCTTCGCCTCCTGGGTTCAAGCAATTCTCCTGCCTCAATCTCCCGAGTAGCTGGAATTACAGGCGTGTACCACCACGCCCGGCTAAGTTTTGTATTTTTAGTAGAGATAGGGTTTCGTCATGTTGGCCAGGCTGGTCTCGAACTCCTGACCTAAGGCAATCCACCAGCCTTGGCCTTCCAAAGTGCTGGGATTACAGGTGTGAGCCACCATGCCCGGCCAAGTGTGGGGCTTCTAATGAGAGCTGGCATACAGGTGTGGCAGGGACTTGAGCTGCCCCCCCACACATTCTCTCCCGTGGCGCACACTCACTGGGATGTAGCCACCCAGCCAGGGATCACGTGCCAGGCTCTCGCTATTGAATGTGAGCTCTCAGACAAAATACATGCAACTGGAGCCTCCTGGCTGAAGACAGGCCTGGAGTTCTCCCTTTCTGGTGGCGACCAGTGGAATCTGGGAAGCCACATGGAGAAAGTGGCAGACCGCTGTCATCTGGGTCCCTAAATGATTGCATGGAGCAGAGCCATCGGTTGACCTGACTCATGCAACTAGTGAGACAATGATGGCGTATGACACATCGTGTTCCTTTGGGGTCAAAGCCACTGAGCCTTTGGGGTCCATTTGTTACAGCAGCCTACCTGCCTAGCCAATACATGGGTCTTCAAGTTGACCTCCTTGAGTCTTCAAGGATAGGTTTTATCATTATACCTCATTTCTGCCTTCATTTCTCATATTAAACCCTACCCCTACTCCTGCCCTACCTCATAAAATGTGAGTCCACTGAGTGCTATGGTGGGCAACCGGACTGAGGGTGAGGTCGGGGCTTCTTCTTGCTTCCTTATCTTTCCTAACTTTCCACAGTTCTGTTAAGCATAAACTGCATAAGATTGTGGATAGAAAAAGAAAGACTGGAAGGAGGAAGGAATGCCTACTCCTGGCTCATCCAGGAGTCACAGCCAAGGGCTGTGATGGGGACTCCAGGCATAGCCCAGGGCTGGGGCACTCACCACCCCACCAGGGCTTCTCAAATCCTTCGGGAAGATACCTCTCATTGGCCCAGCCCTGGGGACAGTTTGATCTCAGAGACCCAGGTCCCAATGCCACCACAGTGGTTTTTTCCTTTTTTTTTTTTTTTTTTTTTTTTTGCATCTATTTGATTCTTCTCTCTTTTCTTCTTTATTAGTCTAGCTAGTTGTCTATCTATTTTGTTAATCTTTTTTAAGATGGAGCTCTTGTCGCCCAGGCTAGAGTACAAAGGTGCGATCTCAGCTTACTTCAACCTCCGCCTCCCAGGTTCAAGCGATTCTCCTGTCTCAGCTTCCTGAGAAGCAGGGATTACAGGCATGCGCCACTATGCCCAGCTAATTTTTGTATTTTTAGTAGAGACGGGGTTTCACCATATTGGTCAGGCTAGTCTTGAACTCCTGACATCAGGTGATCCGCCCGCCTCAGCCTCCCAAAGTGCTGGGATTACAGGCATGAGCCACTGTGCCTGGCGTCATCATAGTGGTTTGTAAACATTGTCCTGCAGGCCAGCTGCACCACATGCCCTGGGGAGTGTGGGAAATATGGACTCCCCAGGCCACTGTCTGTGGTTCTGATCCAGTGGAGCTAGGTAAGGCCAGGGAATCTTTTTTTTTTTTTTTTTTTTTTTTTCCCCACAAACTCCCCAGGGCAGAACCCACTGGAGATCCTGGTGGTCCTCTCTGTCCCCACTGACCTTTCAGGGGTTCAGTGGCAGGAGCCTTGCTGGTGGCTCCCCTCAGCCTCTCCTTCACAATGGGACCTCTGCCTAGTGATCCCTCCCTCTCTGAGTGCTGCTGGCTGTGGACACAGCTAGGCCCAGATATTGGGCCCACTGGATGTTACAGGACTCCTGGGTCAGCCAGAAGCAGGCTGGGAAGGAGGCTGGTCCTGACTTACTGCTCAGAAGTCACTGGCAAAGTCTGCCTTGTGGTGGAAGGTTCTAAAAGCATCAACACTAGCACCGCCCCCTATATCCCCCACCCCCGCCCAGTCTTTCAGCTTTCTGAGACCCCAGAGGGGTCTCACTCAGTGTCCTTCGTGGTGGTGGGGTCCAACCAGGCAACCACTGGGGACTCAGCTGGAGACAATGCCTTGAGCTCTTCGTCATCATCCTCAGAGGGCAGCTTCTTCCTGTAAAGACACAGATGTGGAGGGGGACTTCAGCAAGGACAGAGGGCCCAGGGAGAAGTGCCATGACTCTGACCCCTAAAGATCACATAGAACCAACTCCTAGATAGACGATGGGGGCAGAGCATGAAGCTCTAGGTCCTTGTTTGCCTGGAGGGAGGGAAAAGGCAGAGGAGAGGGTCATAGTCACTCTCCAGACCTCAGTCTTCCCATCTGTTAAATGGCTTGGCAGAAAGGTAACAGCACTGACTTGGTGTTGCACCCCAGTCCTGGCTCTTACCAGTGTGTGACCTCAGCAAATTGCTAAAACACTCTGAGTTACCTTAGTTTCCCTCTCTGTAAAATGGGACTAAATCTACCCAAGTAAATGAGAGACTTATCACTTAGTTCTCAGCTGAAACTTCCTTCCCCTCTCCGGCTCTGGGTCTAAAGTCACCCACGTCATTCCCCTCCACTCTATCAGACCACCTTTTCAGCTATCAGAGAAGCCATGGGTCCAGTCTTCAGCTCACAGTGCGACCTTGGGCAAGTCCCATTCCCTCCTGAGCTCCGGTCTCCCTATCTGAAGAACGAGGACTAAATTGTCCTGGGGTCCTCCATCAGTCAGGAAGTCCAAGTCTGCCACGGAGTGCTGCATTTTGGAGCCATTAGTGTCTTGACTGATGATGTCTAGGTCTGAAATCCACCTGAATTTCAGATGCAAGAAGGTTCTCACCCAACCCACCCCTGGCCTGACGTCGGCAGGTTGGAGCCTGGGCATCTGACTTGGTAGAAGAGGTGCCTTTGACTCTATTTTACCTTGGCATCTTAGGGTTAACTCTGCATTCTCCCACCCTCTGTCCCAAAAGTGAGAATGAATTGCTTTACTGGGGAATTCGAAAGCCTGGGAAAGAAGAAAAAAGACCAAGAGAGAGAAATTCCTTAATACCACCAAGAAAGCAAGCTCTAGTTTTAGAGAAAGAATCCTGTTTAAGACAGAGTCAAACTAGCTGATGTAGAAACACAAAGGCTGTGTCTGGAGGACCCCGCCAGCCAATATCTACCAATAGGAAGAACATTTTATATGTCCATGAATTAAGTCCTGGTGGAGAAGAATGGTCATTCTTTTAATTTTTTAATTTTTTATTTTTATTTATTTATTTATTTATTTATTTTGAGGCAAAGTCTCTCTCTGTCCCCCAGGCTGGAGTGCAGTGGCACGATCTCGGCTCACTGCGACCTCCGCCTCCCGGGGTTCAAGCAATTCTCCTGCCTCAGCCTCCAGAGAAGTTAGGACTATAGGCACGTGGCACCATGCCCACCTAATTTTTTGTATTTTTAGTAGAGATAGGGTTTCACCATGTTAACCAGGATGATCTTGATCTCCTGACCTCATGATCCGCCCGCCTCGGCCTCCCAAAGTGCTGAGATTACAGGCGTGAGCCACCGCGCCCAACCAGAATGGTCATACTTAATGACTTCCATTAGCATTTAAAACATAGAAGGCTGAGTGTTAGCACATGAAACCTAGAGTCTGGGGACACGGGTATGCATGTCAGCACATGAAAGCTTATGTGTTAGCTCGCAGGATGAGCATCAGATCAGTCAAGAACATGGAGCTGAGAGTTTGGGACCTGATCTGCTTTGGCTCTGCGGCCCCACCAAATCTCACGTGGAATTGCAACCCCCAGTGTTGGAGGTGGGATGTGGTGGGAGGTGACGGGATCATGGGGGCGGAGTTCTCATGAATGGTTTAGCACCAGCCCCACTTAACGCTGTATAGTGAGTGAATTCTGATTGTTTAAAAGTATGTGGCAACTCCCCGCCCCCAGTCCTGCTGCTGCCATCTGAGAACCTGTTCCTTTTGCCTCCACCATGAGTATAAGCTCCCGGAGGCCTCCCCAGAAGTAGATACTGCCATGCTGCCTATACAGTCTGTGGAACAACAAGCCAATTAAACCTCTTTTTTTTTTTTTTTTTTTTGAGACAGAGTTTTACTCTGTCGCACAGGCTGGAGTGTGCAGCGGCGTGATCTCGGCTCACTGCAACCTCCGCCTCCCAGGATCAAGTGATTCTCATGCCTCAGCCTCCCGAGTAGCTGGGATTACAGGCACATGCCACCATGTGCAGCTAATTTTTTGTGTGCATTTTTAATAGAGATGGGGTTTCACCATGTTAACCATGCTAGTCTCGAACTCCCGACCTCGGATGATCCACCCGCCTTGGCCTTCTAAAGTGCTAGGATAACAGGCATGAGCCACCATGCGCGGTCTCTGTCTTTTCTTTAGAAACTACCCGGTCTCAGGTGTTCTTTACAACAATGTAAGAATAGACTAATAAAGGAATTTAACCTGAGTTTTATCAAAAATAGGCATAACATGGTAATACACACAGCTGAATCAGCAGGAGAAGGCTGGCTGTGGGGACGTGAAAATAAAATGCAAGTTGGGAGTGGTAGGACTAGAAAATGGTTAGAGGCTGGGCCCCTGCTGTGAAGGTCAGGCTACAATCGCTAAACTCAATAAGGCTATCTTCAGCCTTGGTGAGCACAGGGCAGTCTTGCTGTGGTCTTCAGCTGACACTGTGAAAGCAAAATGGTACAGCTGACTTCCAGAAAATAGGTCCTGGGACTTTGGTTTCCCAAGGGAAGTTCATGATAACTTTTTTTTTTTTTTTTTTTTTTTTTTTGAGATGGAGTCTCGCTCTGTCACCCAGGCTGGAGTGCAGTGGTGCAAGCTCAGCTCACTGCAACCTCCACTTCCCAGGTTCAAACAATTCTCCTGCCTCAGCCTCTTCAGTAGTTGGGATTACAGGCACGTGCCACCATGCCCAGCTAATTTTTGTATTTTTAGTAGAGATAGAGTTTCACCATGTTGGCCAGGCTGGTGTTGAACATCTGACCTCAGGCGATCCACTTGCCTCAGCTTCCCAAAGTGCTGGGATTACAGGCATGAGCCACCATGCCAGGCCATGATTACTTTTTACCAGGGCCCTTACTTCTGTGAGGTTTAATCAGAAATGGAATCCATAGGCAGGGAGCTTTACCTTGGGACCAAGCCTGACAAGGATCTTCAGTAATTACTCTGCAATTCCCAACAGAAGCTGAAAGCTCCAGCCAGTCCCCACATTCCCCACTTTCCCCAGCTGGAGAGTCAGAGGAGGAGCCTCCCTCAGGTTTCTTCTCTAAGAGCACATCCCAGGGCCAAGCCCCGAGCTGCCCAAACCTGCTGACGTCAGCACATCTTCCTAAGATGCTTACATCAGCAGAGGTTCCTACTCCAGCCCCTGAGGGCCAGTCACAGAGCTAGCAAGAGGATGCTGGGAGCGGGGGTTACTGAGGCCATCACTGTGCAGCTGCAACACTCTGCTGGGACCCAAACCCGAGTCTGCCAGTGTTCCAGCCAATGCTCTTCCCTAGCCTCACCACCATGACTCCGGATTCTATCACTAGGGTTTCCAGGGGGATACAGAAGGAGGGATGTGTGGCATCCACATTGATTCTAGAAGGTTCTGAAATGATCCTGTTGCCTTCTGCCAACTCGCCTAGAATGGCAAAACTCATGGATTCACTTTTTTGCACTCTAAGTAACAAGAACAGCCACACACAAGAAGACTAGGGCCAAAAATCTCATTGCTGGGACCCAGCCCAGGGCACTCTTCTGAGACTAGAAAGTGCACACTGCCGTGGGGCACTGTGGCTCATGCCTATAATCCCAGCACTTTGGGAGGCTGATCACTTGAGGTCAGGAGTTTGAGACCAGCCTGGCCAACATGGTAAAACCCCATCTCTACTAAAAATACAAAAATTAGTCAGGCGTGGTGGCGGGTACCTGTAATCCCAGCTACTTGGGAGGCTGAGGCAGGAGAATCGCTGCAATCAGGGAGGCAGAGGTTGCGGTGAGCCGAGACCACACCATTGCACTCCAGTCTGGGCAACAAGAGCAAAACTCTGTCTCAAAAAAACAAAAAACAACAACAACAACAAAAACACGAAAGTGCAAGCTGCCCCAAAGAAGCCAGAGTGAGGACCTAAGCTGGCAGCTCCCGGTCCCCCAGCAGCGCCTGTGCCTGCCCTGGGCTGAATGCCGCAGGGTGCAGTAGCTCGTCAAATTCTCACAATTCTGGTAACCAAGAGGCGTTTCTGTCCTCGTCTTACACAGGGAAAACGGAGGCCTAGGGAGGTTAAATGACGCATGTTAAGAGCCACATCTTACAGCAGTGCTCTGAGATTCACTCCAAGCCATGGCCTTAAGCTGCAAGGAGGGCCTTGCCTAAGCTAATCTACGGCTTTGGGGTTCTTGTCAGTTGCTCCCAATGTTCACTCTGTCCCTGCTCACAGTCAGCCCCACCAGCCTCGGCCTCTACAGAGAGGCAGGCCTCAGAACTCTCCCCTCTCAGGGCTGGGCTCGGGCAGAAGTTTCCTGCCCATTTCTCATAGTTACATCCAACCTGGCACTGTTTGTTTATCTGGTTACTTGTTCACTGTCTATCTCAGCCCCTCTAGAACGTCAGCCCCATGAGGGCAGGCCCCTGACAGGCTTCTCCCTCATGCATCCCCAGGGATGAGCCCGGCACATACAGATGTTCAGTTCATGCTTGTGAATGCATGAATGACAGGGACAAGAGGAGCCTCACAGGCCCAGCTCACAAGCAGAACGCCAGAGGCTTGGATTCCAGCCCCACATGATCTTGGTCCTCTCCCTCTCCTAAATATGCCACCCCCTGCCCAGCCCAGCCTGCACCATTTCCCTGACCATATAAAGGAAACAGGGGTAAATAGACCAGATGTCTATGACTGGAGCCATTTCTGGATCACTTAATGGGCTTTATACATAATTCCGTGAATTAAACTGATGAAGTTTTGAGCTGTACTCTGTGGCTCAGTGAAACTCTATGTCTTTTCTCTATGTTAAGACCTTACCGCCCTCAGTTTGCTATACCCAGCCATCTCCATTCTGACAGGCTTCTGACCTCAGCTGAGCAATTACTCATTAGCTCATGGGTGAGAGCAAAAATTAATTAAGAAGAGAGAATCATCTCTCCATCCAGCCAGTGCAGAAGCAGCACTGACAGCCTCCCTTAGCTTAAAAAGCACTGTCCCGCCCTTGGCAGCCTGCCTGCAGCTGTACGCAGAACCTTCTCCCAGGGACCTGGCTCCAGTTGTCCAAAAGCAGCTCTAACCACTCAGCAATAAATTTATCTGAAGAGGTGTAGAAATGTGCACCACCTTGACCAGGAGTGTCACTTCTGAGAAGGGAGCCCAAGGGCAGAGAGGAGAAGACCAAACACGTGATCATGGCACCATTATGGATAGGGCTCAACAAGAGAGGATTTGTTAAGTTCATTCCGGCACGTGGAGCTGGAGGAATGCCCAACAGCCCTCATAAGTGAGCATTCAGGAGACAGCCCAGCAACATGGAAAAGGGTGCATGGAATGAGACAGCACTGTAAACTGGATCCCTCCTCCAATTAAAACCACACAAGACCATGAGCCTAACCCAGGCATAGAGAAGGCAGAGCAGTAAAAACACCATCTAGGGTGGTGGGTTGTAGATGATTATCTTTCTAATGTTCTATGGTATTTCCATTACATTATCTTTTTTACTCTCTCTCTCTCGAGATGGAGTCTCACTCTGTCACCCAGGCTGGAGTGCAATGGCGTGATCTTGGCTCACTGCAACTGCCACATCCCAGCTTCAAGTGACTTTCCTGCCTCAGCCTCCTGAGTAGCTGGGGCTACAGGTGCACACCACTATGCCCAGGTAATTTTTATATTTTTTAGTAGAGAGGAGGTTTTGCCATGTTGACCAGGCTGGTCTCAAACTCCTGACCTCAGGTGATCCATCTTCCTTGGCCTCCCAAAGTGCTGGGATTACAGGCATGAGCCACTGTGCCCAGCCCACATTATATTATCTAATAATACAGTGGGTGGATGGCACTGAAAGCACAGGTAACAAAAGCAAAAACTGGACAAGTGGAATTATCTCCATCTAAAAAGCTTCTGTGTAGAAGGAAACAGTGGAGTGAAAAAGAAGCCTAGAGAATGGGAGAAAATCTTTGAAAATTATATATTTGATAAAAAATAAGAAGCTCCTACACCTCAATATCAAAACAAACATACATTAATAACAAAAAAATAGGCAAAGAACTCAAATAGACATTTCTCCAAAGACATGCAAATGGCTGGCAGGCATACGAAAAGCTGCTTGACATCACTAATCATTGGTGTATTAGTCCATTTTGACATTGCTATAAAGGACTGCCTGAGACTAGGTAGTCTATAAAGGAAAGAGGTTTCAGTGACTCACAGTTCCACATGGCTGGGGAGGCCTCAGGAAACTTATGATCATGGCAGAAGGCAAAGGGGAAGCAAGGCACAGCTTATATGGCAGCAGGAGAGAGAGGGAGAAAGAGAGAGAGAGAGAAGGGAAGTGCCACGCTTTTTNTTTTTTGAGACAGTCTCGCTCTGTCGCCAGGCACCAGGCTGGAGTACAGTGGAGCAATCTCGGCTCACTGCAACCTCCACCTCCCGGGTTCAAGCAATTCTCCTGCCTCAGCCTCCCAAGGAGCTGGGGCTACAGGCACACACCACCATGCCCAGCTAATTTTTGTATTTTTTAGTACAGACGGGCTTTCACCATGTTGGCCAGGATGGTTTCGATTTCCTGACCTCGTGATCTGCCCGCCTTGGCCTCCCAAAGTGCTGGGATTACATGCATGAGCTACTGCACCTGGCCAGTGCCACACTTTTAAACCATCCGACCTCATGAGAACTTACTCACTACCATGAGAACAGCATGGGGAAAACCACCCCCATGATCCATTCATCTTCCACCAGGTCCCTCCCTTGACACATGGGGAGTACAATTTGAGAGAAGATTTGGCCGGGGATATAGAGCCAAACCATATAATCAGGGACATGCAAATCAAAACCACAGTGAGATACCATCTCACACCTATTAAGATACCCATGATCCAAAAAAAACCCCAGAAAATAACAAGCATTGATGAATATGCAGAGAAATAGGAAAAAGGGTATAGTCACTGTGGAAAACAGCATGATGGTTTCTCAAAATATTATAAATAGGACTGCCATATGATCCTGCAATCCCTCTTCTGGGTGTTTATCCAAAACAACCAAAATCGGGATCTCAAGGAGATATTTGCACTCCCATGTTCATTGTAACACTTATTCACAATGGCCAAGAGATAGAAACAATAGAAATGTCCACCAACAGATAAATTGATAAAGAAAATGCAGGGTGGGTGTGGCAGCTTACACCTATAATTCCAGCACTTTGGGAGGCTGAGGCAGGTGGATTGCTTGAGCTCAGGAGTTTGAAACCAGCCTTGGGCGACATACTGAGACCCCATCTCTACAAAAAATAAAAAATTAGCTGGGTGTGGTGGCATGTGCCTATAGTCGAAGCTATTTAAGAGGCTGAGAAGGGAGAATTGCTTGAGCCCAGGAGGTCGAGAATGCAGTGGGAAAGAAAGAGAGAGAGAGAAAGGAAAGAAAGAAAGAAAGAAAGAAAGAAAGAAAGAAAGAAAGAAAGAAAGAAAGAAAGAAAGAAAGAAAGAAAGAAAGAAAGAAAGAAGGAAAGAGAGAGAGAGAGAGAGGGAGGAAGGGAGGGAGGGAAGGAAAGAAGGAAGGAGAGAGAGAGGGAGAGAAAGGAAGGAAGGAAGGAAGGATGGTGAGAGAAAAGAAAAGAAAGAAAAAAGAGAGGAAGGAAGGAGGGGGGATGAGGGAGGGAGGAGGGAAAGATAAAAAGGAGGGAGGGGGAGGGGGAGGGAGAGGGAGAGGGGAAGAGGGAGTGAAGGAGAGGTTGGTCCCCAGGCTCCACTTGAGGTATATCAAGTGTATATCAAATGTGGTATATCCATACAATGGGATATTACTCAGCTTTAAAAAAGAAGAAAATCTTGTCAAGTGCTACAATGTGGACAAATCTTAAGGACATTGTGTCAAGAGAAATAAGGCAGTCCCGAAAAGATAAATACTGCATGATTCCACATATATGAGACAAGTAAAGTAGTCAAACTCACAGAAACAGAAAGCAGAATGAAAAAGTAGAATGGTGGCTTCCAGGGGCTGGGGTGGGGTGAAGGGAAGAATGGGGACTTGCTGTTCAATGGGTGTAGAGTTTCAATCATACAAGATGAAAAGTTCTAGAGATCTGCTGTAAAATAATGTGCATATAGGTAAAAATACCATACTGTACACTTAAAATTTAAGAGGGTTTTTTAAAAAAGTACTTGGTGAGTTATAATCATATGTAAGTTTTAATAAATAGCATCCTGTCAAAAATGAAATAAAATGAGGTAGAAATTAATTCTGTAATATTTATTATATATTAGTATATAAATTATTTACTTTAAAAAGTTTTAATTTTTTTTTTATTTTTTGAGATGGAGTCTTGCTCTGTTGCCCAGGGTAGAGTACAATGGCACAATCTCAGCTCACTACAACTTCTGTGTCCCAGGCTCAAGCAATTCTCATGCCTCGGCCTCCCAAGTAGCTGGGATTACAGGTGAGGGCCACTATGCCTAGCTAATTTTTTTGTATTTTTAGGAGACACAGGGTTTCACTATGTTGGCCAGGCTGGTCTTGAACTCCTGGCCAACAGGCTGTGGCTTCTGTGGCTTTGTGGCTTCTTTCAAACGATCCACCTGCCTCAGCCTCCCAAAGTGCTAGGATTACAGGCATGAGCCACTGTGCCCGGCTATTACTATATTATTTATTATATTATTTCTTCTAATTTATAGCTGAGGGCATTTGGGACAGGGCCTCCCATGAGAGCTTTTAGAAGAGCCCTAAGCCAGGAGTTAGGAGAACCAGGAAGGGGTGTCAGAGTCCCACTTCTGACACCAACTCGCTGTGTGATTTTAGGCCAGCTGCTTCTCCCTCTGGCCTCATTCTCTTCATCTGCCAAATGAACAGGTGACACAGTGCTGAGAAAAGCCCAAGAGAAGCATAAAAGCATAAAAGCTAACCTGTGTGTTCCCGAGGCTGAGTTTGGGACAGTGAGGGTGTCAGATTTGGCAGGAGATGGTGGCGGCAACACGGGTGAGGGTGGATTCTCTTCCACCATGAGGGGGTGCCCATCAGCATCGATATCTTCCACCTGCACTTCCGGATGCTCTTTCGTGGCAGGCACTGGGGGAGAAGGAGAGAAGAGAGTCAGAAAGAGACAAAAGGCAGGTCCCGGGAGCCTGGCTGTATTCTTGAAGGAAACCACAGAAAGCATGTTTGGAGGGGGCTCTGGTAGCTTCACTTCCCAATGGGGCGCACAGAAAAGCTCTATGCAGGGGGTTCAAAAATGCAGTGCCCAGAGTTCTCTGAGGGTCATCACCACCCCAGCCACCAGCCCAGGAGCCACATAAGAAGCCACAAAGCCACAGGAACTCCAGCTCTCCTAGCTCTCCAAGCCCAGCTTGTTTTTCCCTGCACTTGAGCAAGCTCTAAGGAGCTGAGGCAGTGACAGCACCCAGAGAGGGCACGGAAAGCCTAGGGAGCCAGAGTCCTGGCGCCTGGCCTAGCACAGCCTGAATCAGCTGCTTCCCCTGTCTGAGCCTCAGTTTCCCTACCCTAAGGTAGGCTGACCATGCCTTCCCAGGCCTGTAGGGAGGAGTCAGAAGGCACAAGTCCTCACATTAAAAACATATATTTTATTTATTTGTTTATTTTTGAGAGGGGGAGTCTCACTCTATCACCCAGGTTAGAGTGCAGTGGCACAATCACAGCTCACTGTAATCTCTGCCTCCCAGGCTCAGCTGATCCTCCCAGCAGCCTCCTGAGTAGCTGGGACCACAGACACACACCACCATGCTTGGCTAGTTTTTGTACTTTTGTAGCGACAGGGTCTCACCATGTTGCCCAGGCTGGGGACGAACTCCTGAGCTCAGGTGATCCTCCTACCTTGGCCTCCCAAAGTGCTGGGATTACAGGGGTGAGCCCCTGGGCCCGGCCAGCCTCACATCCTTGAAGAGCATCAAATGGAGACATTTGGAGGGTCCCGCCAATCAAAGGTAACACACCGTGTAGCATGTGGTACTCCCTATTTGGCTACACACTTGGGCATGTCCTTGTTCTTGTACGAGCCAAGAGCCCCCAAATTCATCTGCTAGCCTGACTCTGGACCTGAGAGGCCTAGTACTATGTCCCACATTCCTGAGAATCGGGTCCTTTCCAGGGAGCCTGGGCGCAGCCATGCCTTGGGCTCCATCACCCACCTCAGGGGCTGCAGGGACAGTTTTGCCCCAAGTCCAAACTCAGAGGGTACTGAGGGGCTGGAATGGTGTTCCTCCTTCCCCTTCCAACAGCAATGGAGCACAGGTCTGGGCACCAGCAAGGCAGGCAGGGATACACCCCCAAAAAGGGAGAAGTGGGGGGATTTTGAAATAATTATATATGTGTTTTTTCCTTTCTTTCTTTCTTTCTTTTTTTTTTTTTTTTTTTTAATTGAGACAGAGTCTTGCTCTGTCGCCCAGGCTGGAGTGCAGTGGCGTGATCGCAGCTCACTGCAACCCCTGCCCCCTGGATTCAAGCCATTCTCCTGCCTCAGCCTCCTGAGTAGCTGGGATTACAGGCCCCTGCCACCACGCCCAGCTAATTTTTGTATTTTTAGTAGAGATGGGGGTTTCACCATGTTGGCCAGGCTGGTCTCAAACTCCTGACCTCAGGTGATCTGCCTGCCTCGGCCTCCCAAAGTGCTGGGATTACAGGCATGAGCCACCGCACCTGGCTAATATGTGCTTTTTGTCAAATGGCCTTTATGAGAAAATCCAGCACTGTGTTAAATTGCTTACACTTACTCTATAGTTTGATGGAGCAAACCTAAATCCTCTGGAGAAGAGGATGAACAGGAATGGAGAAGTTGGTAAAAATGTAAGCGGGGCCAGGCACAGTTGCTCAAGCCTGTAATCCTAACAGTCTGGAAAGCTGAGATGGAAGGATCCCTTAAGTTCGAGAGCAGCCTCAGCAACCCAGCAAAACCCCACCTCTACAAAAAATATAAAAATTAGCTGGTCATGGTGTTCCAGCTACTTGGGAGGCTGAGGTTGGAGGACAGCTTGAACCTGGGAGGTCAAGGCTGCAGTGAGTCAAGATCATGCCCACACACTCCAGCCTCAGCGACAGAGCGAGATCCTGTCTCAAAAAATAATAAAAAATAAAATAAAATGGAAGTAATGTTCTTACTACAGCTTCTCATTGCCTTGTCTGTAGCACCTAGAATCATCATGTGCTCCAGCACAGCTGGGTCAGCCCACCGTTTCAATGTGTCCCTGGGAACATTTCCCCAAGTGTGGGGCTCCCAGGGACCGGGGAGGACACAAGATGATCTTAGACGGCACAGACAAGGCAAAAGATAAACTAGAATAAGAATGTTAACTCCCGCTGGGCGCGGTGGCTCATGCCTGTACTTCCAGCACTTTGGGAGGCTGAGGCAGGAGGATCATCTGAGGTCAGGAGTTTGAGGCCAGCCTGGCCAACATGGCAAAACCCCATCTCTACTAAAAATACAAACATTCCCCAGGTGTGGTGGCATATGCCTGTAATCCCAGCTACTTGGGAGGCTTAGGCAGGAGAATCACTTGAACTTGGGAAGCGGAGGTTGCAGTGAGCCAAGATCGCACCATTGCACTCCAGCCTGGGCAACAGAGGTCGAGACTCCATCTCATTAAAAAAAAAAAAAAAAAAAAATTTACCCCCCTTTTAGTGAATACCCAGAGAGGAAGTCTCAGGTTGGTGCCACTGTGGTCTTAGTGCCTCTGACACAGCCTAAAACCATTTGCAGCTAAGAGAGCAGGCCCCAGCTGCAAGCCTTCAGCAGGCCCGTCCATCTCATTAGAAAACAGCAACACCATTTTGTTTTCAGTGTTATTTGAGGTTATTTTTATTTATGCCTCTGTTTATGGCAAGCAATGCTGGTTTTCCATTTGAATAGTAATAAGAAGTTTTCCTACTTAAATATACTTAATTAAATAAAAAAGAGAATCCACTGAAAGAAAAATAGTAAGCAAATAAAAATAGAATTGGGGCCAGGCGCGGTGGCTCACGCCTATAATCCCAGCACTTTGGGAGGCCGAGGTGGGTGAATCAGCCGAGGTGAGGAGTTCAAGACCAGCCTGGCCAACATGATGAAACCCTGTCTCAACTAAAAATACAAAGATTAGCCAGCAAGGAGGCGCACGCCTGAGCTCCCATCTACTTGGGAGGTAGAGGTTACAGTGAGCCCAGATGGCGCCACTGCACTCCAGCCTAAGCAACAGAGCAAGCCTCCATCTCAAAAAAAAAGAAACAAAAAAACACAGATTTAGCAGTAATCAGGAAGTGGCCTGTGGAGGTGGGAGCTGGGGGACGCTTTGGGGTCATTTTGTTTCCTTTTTCTTTTTCTTTCTGTCTTTTTCTTTTTCTTTTTTAGCAATTCAGCATCCTCAATGACAGGGGTGGGCTGCTTTGGAGTAGTAGATTCAAGGCTTGCCCACCAGAAGGTGGAGGCCGGGGTGGCACAGCTTACTGTTGGATGACCTGCGTGCCACCTCACCTCCTCCCTGTGCCCACCAGGGAGAGGAGAGAAGGACAACAGTGGATGTCTTCCCGTGAAATGCTCTGTCCTGCCGGCCTGGACTGATCTCAGAGGCAGCCCTGCACCATGTCAGCCACAAATAAACAAGCCAATCAAAAGGGAAAGCGGGCATGTCTGGCTCGGGTAGTGACAGGGGTTAGTCCAGGGTGCCAGGATGTCCCCGAGCTCTTTGTCATCAGGCAGTGAGTGGTGGCAGCCCAAAGGCCACTATGGGGACTTTGCCACAATCAATGGATCCAGACAGCCCTTCCTCCACCCTCGCCTCTGAGGATGCCTGCCTGCACCTAGAGCTTCTTTCCTGAAATGGAATTTGCTGAGCAGCAAACTCTCAAGGTCAGTGGGTTCTATCTGCAATTGGTGCCCACATTACTCTTTTATTCCATTTCCCTCCTTTCACTGCCCTCCACCCCAACCCCAGACTCCCTGTCCAAGCCTTTTGGCCTGGAGATCTGACAAAGTGACTTGTTGAAACTAAGGTGTGTGGCCGGGCGCGGTGGCTCAAGCCTGTAATCCCAGCACTTTGGGAGGCCGAGGCGGGTGAATCACGAGGTCAAGAGATCGAGACCATCCTGGTCAACATGGTGAAACCCCATCTCTACTAAAAATACAAAAAATTAGCTGGGCATGGTGGCGCGTGCCTGTAATCCCAGCTACTCAGGAG